TTAATTTTAATTTTAATTTTTTTTTTCTGAGACAAGGTCTTGCTATGCAATTCAAGCTTCCCTTAAACTCACTCTGTAGCCCAGGCTGGCCTCATACTCAATGAGATTCTCTTGCTTCAGCCTTCTGAGTGCTGGGATTTACTGGTGGGTGCCATCATGCCCGGCCCTGTGTGTATATTTATTTCCTGAGTTGTACACAGAGGCTTTGCTGAGGGTAAGGCCTTTGTCTTTACTACTTCAGTTCTAGCTCAGTGACAGCATGTAACAGGTATTGAATAGCTCTCCTTAGTAAACAGTGGAACCCCCACCCCGCACTACTCTTACATTGTCTATAAACTCCAACTTTCCCTTCTGAAGAAATTAATTTTGCTGGTTTTCCCTTAGTCCCTATCTTATTAGGTCTAACATCAGTCCCTTTAAATCTATATAGAGCTTATTTTACTGGCTCTACTTTTCTTATTTAAATATAAGGCTGGCTGGGATGAAGGTGTCTGTAATCACAGCGCTCAGAGGCCCAGGCAGAGGGCAGCCTGGGTTACACAGTGAGTTCAAGGGCAGCCTGAACTAGAGACCCTGTCTCAGATAGATAGATAGATAGACAGACAGACAGAGTAAATAAGGCTAGCCAGGCCTTGGTGAGTTATAGGCAATGTTTTTTCTTGGTTCAGTTGAGCTGAAACTTGAACCTAGAGCCTGGCACATGCCAGGCAGGCCTCTGCCCCTGAGCCACGCCCCCCGCCTCTACTTCCGCCAGCTCTGTCCTGGGGTTTGCTGCGCACCTTCCCATTCAAACTCATGCCCACTGTCCAGCTGCTCTGAGTCTGAAGGCGTCTCCAGTTCGTCCACGTCCAGGTCCGAGCTGCCGTCGGAAGAGGAAGCTGTGGAGTGGGTGGGAGAAGCCTCCTTCTCTCCAGGCCCCTCCAGCAGGTTCGGCTTCAGATCCGGGGCAGACAGACGCTTCCGCATGGGGCGCTGGCCGCACAGGGCTAGAGTGCTGGGGGTGGCTGGGGTGGGCCAAGGGGGAGACACACAAGGCCTGAGCTGAGGATGGTGGCTGGAATTCCTGAGGGCAGGGACTTCAAGGGGCAAACTCTGAAGACGGAAGTGACACGGGACGTTGGGGAAAGGGGGCAATGGAGCTGCAGAGGGATAACGGCAGCGGGGCCTTCAGTGGACTAGAATCAAGAGCTTGAAATCTGGTTTCTACTTTATTCACCTGCCTGTGGGTCTCTCTGAGCATCTTCAGGCTCTTCAGAAAGGCCAACCTCCTCAGGAAGCAGTCTACGGGGGAAAGATGAGGGGGCTCCTCGCCAGCTGTCAGTTTACCAGCTTGCTCTCTCCCTGCCACAATGTTAGCATCTGTTTTCTTTTCCCCCCTGCTCTTTCCTTCAAGTCCTAATTTAGCCTCGGCATCCTCTGTTCGTGACCTCTCTCCCTCCTCCCAGACTCCCTCGCCCCTCCTCACCTAGGGAATTCTTCATCTTGCCATTCTTCCTTCAGCTCTAGTTCCCCAAGTCTCAGGGCTGCTCCTGGCTCTGCCTCTTCTGCACGCTCCCTAACCCTGAGTCCCAGAAACAAAAGATTATCATGGAACAACCTAGATAGTGTCTTAAGAGCAGACATTGGAATGGAGGACAGAGGACAGGACTGGGGAGGCTGAGGCAGGAGATTGTGAGTTCAAGGCCAGCCTGGGTTACGTGGTGAGACATCTCAGAAAACAAAAGAACTCAGACTTCTTGTTTCCTAAACAGTGTTTCTCCACCTCCACCAGGGTTTAGGAGCAGAAGAAAGATGAAATGTAGAGGGAATCACATTTTCCCCTGTGGCTGTGGCCCCACCTACAACACGGCTGGAACCAGACAGACCCCTGGAGCCATCCCCGGGCATTAGGGAAGATGGCAGCACCTTCTCCACTGGGCTGGGAGTGGCTGCCTCGAGCATGGGGAGCATCAGGGAAGAAGGTAGGGAGATTCGGTGGGAAGGAAAACCTGGACCTAAACTCATTTCTGGATCAGCTATTTGGAAGGTGGGAGTTAGAAAAAAAACAGGCAGATTTATCAGATATAAAATATAAAGACTTCCCTTTAAAAAAAATCCAGCAATTATCCTGGAATCCTGAATTGACTTAATTCCAAACCATACTGACATTTCTTACCGGGAGGCACTCCACCCCTTCTCTGCAAATTAAATTCTTGTTCAGTCTTCTCTCCGCGAAGAACCCCAGAAAAAGCCCTGTGTAGGGGCCGGATGGTGGGAAGTCCTTCACTCCATACCCAGCTGGATGCCCCTGTTGGGACTTACCCGAGGGCTGGAGTCTTTTTTCTGGTCTCTTGTGTAGACCCCATCTTCACAAGTCTTCCAGCCTCTCTTGAACAAGCCCCCAGCCCTTCCGGAAGCTTTTCTGGCCCAGCTGTTGTGGCTCTGGCCTCCATGAAAGAGGGAGGTGTGGAAGGGAGGCAGCCTCATCTTCAAACAGGTTTTGCCACCTCCCCTCCCAAGGAGCAGGTTTGCCCAAAAGAAAAACCCTGGCATGTGGGGGCGGGCTCAGGAGGACAGTGGATTTTCCATAGGGTGACTGGCCTGAGGTGAGTCCTGGAAGGAGATCTGTCCCCCTTACTGGATACCTGATAACTTTCTTGAAGCTAAGGAGTGGTGGGGGGAACAACAGAATGGAAGACTACTTGGGCCTACTTTTTTTTTTTCTTTTTGCGACAGTCTTGCTCTGTAGTTCAGGTTATCCTTGAACTCATTATGTAGACTGGGGCCTACTTTTCAAGTACTATGAAAGCAAAACTGGGAAGACAAAAGTACGTTCCAAAGCTCTTAGAAAAACAATAAAGGATAGCTGGGCGTTGTGGTGTACATCTGTAATCTTAGCACTCAGGAGGATGAGGCAGGAGGATCAGAGTTCAAAGCCACACTGAACTCCATAGAGTTCAAGGACAGCTTGAACTACAAACTGAGTCCCTGTCTCAAAAAAAAAAAAGGTTCAAGCCCAGCTGAGCAATTTTTTTGTTTTTTTGGTACCGGGGATCGAACTTGGGTCCTTGCACTTGCGAGGCAGGCGGCGGAACCACTGAGCTAAGTCCCCAGCCCCTCAGCTGGGCAATTTAGTAAGACCATGTATCAGGATTTAAAAAACGGCCAGGGATTTAGCTCAGTGGGTCCACCGCCTAGCAAGCACAAGGTCCCAAGTTCAATCCCTGGTACCAAAAAAAAAAAAAATCAAAAAAGAATTGCTGGGAGTGATGGCACAAGCCTGTAATCTCAGCACTCAGGAGACAGGCAGGAGGATTGCCTTGAGTTAGAGGCCAGCCTGAGCTACATATGAGTTCAAGGCCAGCCTGAATTACATATGCAGACACTATTCTTCCACTCTCCCCCAAAACAAAACAAAAACTTAAAAAGGAGTGGGGATGTAGCTCTGTGTGTGGTTCATTCCTCAGTAATGCTCGATAGACGGATAGCTGGGGTGGTGGTGCACAGGAGCACACTGAGAGGCTGAGGCAGGAGGACAGCAAATTCAAGGCCAGAATGGGCAGCTTGGTGACTCAGTGGGTCCCTGTCTCAAAATGAAAAGTAAAAGGGGTTGATGAAGCTCACTGCAAAGGCCCTGGCTTCCCCACCTAGTACTCCCCCCTCCCCAGAGAGACAGAGAGAGAGAGAGAGAGAGAGAGAGAGAGAGAGAGAGAGAGCGCGAGCTAGAGTTGACAGAAGACAATTAGTAGAAAGATGGGCGATAAACCAGTGGGAGGCAGATACAATTACCTAAGGTAAAGGCCTATTATAATTGTAAAAGGCAACAATAAGACTCCAAACAGGAAAACGTATTTAATACTTTAACAAAATGCAAGATAAAGTACCCAAGTTACAAAACATAAATTGCTTTGGTTCAGTGATCACACCACTAGTTTTACCTTTCAAGTGGCTATAGACACCGCACCATTAGTGACGTCAGCCTGCCCCCATCACCCCAGAAGATGCCACACTGAAACCATCGCTTGTGTGCCATTCAGTGAAATTGTTGGCAAACAGTAAGGGGCAGGGAGGGGGCACAGGCTGGTCTGAAGAAGGAAGGGGGACTACACATGCAGAACACATCGGGGGACACTCTCCGCTGGGCCACTGTGGTATGAACCATACCCCTCCACATGCTACACAAGACTGATCCCCTCGCACAACCACACGAACACGGACAATCCAGTGAGCCCAGCATTCCCAGGAAAGCAAAAGAAAAATGCACAGGAATGGAAGAGAGAAAAGACATTGCAAGGGGCAGATCACAGCCCACCAGGGAACATCTAAACCCTGTTCTACAGATGGGGACAATGAAACCTAGAGACAGGAAGTGTCTGGGGCCAGGCATTTAGCTCAGCGGCACTGTGCCTGCCTCATAAGCGAAAGGTCCTGAGTTCGATCCCTGGTACCAAAAAAAAAAAGTGTCTTGCCAGAAGACACATAGCTTGTGGCCATCGGTATAAGAACTTGCGCTTCCTTTTAAGGTAACTGGACAGGAAGAAATGGACAAGAAATTCATTGACCTGCTAGGCTAGGGGACAGACCCAGGATTCTTGCCCCTTTTAGGAAAGAGTACCTATGAGGTCAAAGCCCTTCCTGGGTGGGTCCTTGACTCTCAAGAACCAGGGGTCTTCAGGGTCTCCTCGGGGTCCCTGTGACTCTGGGATAGAGGAACCCAAGGAAACAGAAAGCTAGGCCACCTACCTGATAGGGACACCAGGTCATGGCCTTCAATCTGTTCCCAAACCAGACCTGACACAGCCACAATAAGCTCCAGACAGAAATTCAGCCACCTCTCTGGCAAATACCAGGGGGCAGGAAGACAGGTTGGAGACCTGGAAATCTGAAGGCTGAAACTGGAGCGAGTTTCTAAAGCGTGCCCTCTGTCTATTTAGCCTGAAGTAAGTATTCAATAAATACTTAAGTAAATAAAGAAATGAAGTGAAGTCCAAGAGACCATCAGTGAATGTCTGGTTCCACGACAGACTCTGGTTCTGTTCCAGGGCCGGACCGAGGGCACTTCGGGATTACATTCGTTCCCCACTCTGCTGGGACGGTGGGTGTGTTACGATACATTGTGCCCGACAGATGAAACGGAGGGAAGCCAGTGCAGATTTAAAGAATAAAGTTAAATAATGACATCTGTCTGATTGGTAGAGACTGGAGGGAAAAGGCAGAAAGCCATTCCTACAGCAGCTGCTTTCTTTCCCATCTTTCGCCTCCCAGTTTCATGAGGACAGAACTGAACACCAGAGCGGAAATCTCTGAAGATCTCCGAACATGCACCGGAGGTGTCGAGCCACCTCCCCCTCGCCCCGGCGCCTCCCGAGAGTCACTTCTTTGACAAGGCGGGAGTGGGAGCCTGGGTCAGCGAGATCTGGCTGCACTTCTCAAAGACGGCCTCGGCGGAGAGCTTGGGCAGCCCCTGGTCCAGCGGGCACTCATCCACCAAGCTGTTCATGGGTGTGGGGGGCAGCGGGGGGTCGTCTTCATCTTGACTCAGTCCAGGAGTCAGGGTACTCCCTGCCCTGTCCAACCCCTTGTCCACCTGCTCCGAGGATGCGGCCTCAGGCTGCCCCGCTGGGATCTTCATGGACTCAGAATATGCTGTCAGGGCTTCCTGGAGGAGAGGCAGAAGTTTCTTCCGGGAGGCCTGGGTGTTGCCTTGGAGATAGGCCTGCAGATTGGGGTACGCGGCGGGGAAAGGGGTCAGCTTCAGCATCGGGGAGTGGGAGCGTTCCAGGGCTCCACAGATCTAGAGGCAACAAGGACAGGAAAGGACATACAACTCGGTGTAGTAAAAAGCTCAGGCTTCTAAGAGAAGGTGCCAACAGAGGAGGGAACTTTTCAGTTAAGTCACTGAAACCTGTTTTAGTGCATGCGACCAAAGGAACATCTCTAATATACACAGTATTGGGCCGGGGGTTTAGCTCAGTGGTTCCGCCGCCTGCCTTGCAAGCGCAAGGTCTCGAGTTCAATCCCCGGTACCAAAAAAACCAAAACAAATAATATACACAGTATTTTAGAAACACACCACCACCACCCCCAACTGGGGATGGAACCAGGTCCTTTGCAGTGAGCTATATCCCCAGCCCTTTTTTGTTTTCATTTTGAGACAAAGGCTTGCTAAATTGCCTAGGCTGGGCTCAAACTTGCAATCTCCTGCCTCAGCCTCCCAGAGTGCTGGGATTACAGGCACGGGTCACCATGCCTGGGAAGAAACAGAACATTTTAGATCTCATTTCTTTTTATTAATAAGTAAATCTAGGGCCGGGGATTTAGCTCAGTGGTTCCAGCGCCTGCCTTGTAAGCACAAAGTCCCAAGTTCAATCCTCAGAACCAAAATAAATAAATAAATAAATAAATAAAAATAAGGAAACCTAGGCTGGGGATTTGGCTCAGGGGTACAGCACTGGCCTAACAAGTACAAGGCCAAGTCTAATCCCTTGCACCACAAAAAAAGTGACAAAGGAAGTCTGGCTGGGCGTGGGAGTACTCATTTATAATCCCAGCTGCTTGGGAGGCTAAGGCAGGTGGATCAGCCTGAGCAACCTAGCAACCTAGGCAAGGCCTTATCTCAAAATGAATAAAAAAGGGGGACCAGGGATATAGCTTGGCGGTACTGTACAGCCTTGGGCCCAATCTTTTTTTTTTGGTACGGGGATCGAACTCGGGACCTTGTGCTTGCGAGGCAGGCACCAGAACCACTGGGCTCAATCTTAAGTATGGGGTGACAGAGAGACAGTGTCTGGAGCAAAATCACGTGGACGATCAGAGTCTGAACCAGAACCCAGGAGCCCTTGGTCCTAATCTAGTGTTAGAGTTAGGTCAGGAATGTCCCCCGGGCAGGGCATAAGAGCACAGGTCTGTAATCACCACGAGTCTCAACAACAAGGAAAGGCCCTGTCTTAGAAAAACAAAACAAAACAAAACATAGAAAGAAGGTCCCCCAAAGGCCTCCTTCACTCACATGCGGGCTCTGGGAGGTGACTGGGGGCGGGGGGAGAAGATAGATGGATATATATGCAGCTGACTTGCTGCCGGCAGGAGGGGCCCTGTCAGAGGACCTGTGTCACCAGGGAGCGGTGTCTCCCTCCCCAGCCTCCCTTCTCTCTCTGCTTCTGGCCACCATGACGCCAGCAGCTGCCCCCTGTGCCCCTCCACTATGAGTTTCTGCCCTGGCCAGTAACCATGAGCCAAAGGGAACCTTTCCGCCTCTCAGCTGTGGGTGTTGGGCACTGCGTCCCAGGGAGGGGAAAGTGACTAAGACAGCCAGTGTTGTTTCCAAGTGTACACCCAGTGCTCAAGGGTGCGGCTGACACCTCTCAGGAGGCCAAGGGAAGACTGAGGCAGAAAGAAGGGGAGACAGGCCGAGGCAGCGCATCTGGCTGTTTACACTTAGAACTTACATCCTAAGACTGGTGTTACTATCACCCTCATTTATGGTGGGGAAGCGGAGGCTGAGGTGGATTAGGTAACTTAGGGTTTGTAGGAAGGAAAACAGACACTCCAACCCAGGTCTGTATCCCAAACCAGTGTTCTACATCAATATATTAACACTCTTCCTAAGGCAGGAGGAAGCGAGGTGCTGAGGCTCGTTTTGAAAAGAGGATTCCTATCTCCTAGCACCAAGGCAGCCCAGGCCAGGGAAGCATCATCAGACATCACACAGCTTCAGGGCAGCAGAGAGGAACAGATTCTGAAAGGGGGAAGAGCACTTCTTTATTTGTGATACTGGGGACTGAACTCAGGAAGCACTGAGCTGTATCCCCAGCCCCTTTTTATTTTGAAACACCCTCCTAAGTTGCTGAGTTTCCCAGGGCAGCCTCAAGCTTGCAATCCTCCTGCCTCAGCCTCTCAAGTAGCTGTGACTGCAGGTGCGCACCTCCATACCCAGCAAAAGAGCACCCCCCAACTGGGGATCGAACTCAGAACCTTGCGCTTGCAAGGCAGGCATGACAGCACTGAGCTACATCCCCGGCCCAGAAGAGGACTGGTTTTTTTTGGTACCAGGGATCGAACTTGGGTCCTTGGGCTTGCAAGGCAGGCAGTGGAACCACTAAGCTAAATCCCCGGCCCCCAGAAGAGCACTTTTTATAGCCAAAGTACCCTCTCCTTCAGGACAGGATCGGTAAGAGCCACTGTGCTCTGAGTTTGACGATACTGCGTTAGTGACCTCATCGGACCAAGCAGCGCTGTGCCATTTACAGCCTCAGAAGTCAATGGAGGCCTTAGCTCAAAGCCAACCAAGTGGCAAACTGGGAACAGAAACACATGTCTGTCAGGTTTTAGAAAAGTAGCTCTTCCCACAGTGCCAGACTCACATGGAATGAAATCAGATTTGCTTGCTGGGGGAGCAAAGAAAGGCAAAAAGATGGAAAAGGCGGACCTACCTTTCATGAGCGCAAAGGGTCATCTGCTGCGTTGGGCCTTCAGCAGTGCTCACACAGCCTAAGCAACCCAAGGGTCCACTTTTAAATTCTTCTCTTGCTAATCATTAACCAACAGAGGAACAGAAAATGGCCAAATGGAAAAACAGGAAAGGAAAAAACAGGGCCCTCAATCACTGCTCTACACAGTTCAGGATGTAATGATTAATCTCTGTGTGGTAATCGAAGAAAAAAGTGCTGGAGACAGAAGGCAGACCTCCTGCCCCACCACGGTGCCACGCAGCCCATCCCTGTGCTTCTGATTGTCTAGGCAACAGAGCGGAAGCAAAAGAACAGATTTTCAGAGGAGAGGAGTTAATGATTAAGCCAAGAATCAAATCTGATCCCAGATGCCTATCACTTCCTTCTCAGCAGGACTGTCCCTAGTTCTCGGGGAGTCCCCTTGTCCACACTGCCGTGAAGGTGACCCACACTCACACACAGGGAGCGTGGAGAAAGCGGGGAGCAGGGTCCCCGACACAGGTCAGAGAGCCCCCACGTGGAGCTGAGGACAGAGGCGCACACAGATGAGCTCGGAGCCCACCAGGGAGAGGGATGAACACTCACCGCCATTCGAAGTGCCACATGGGGGCAGAAAACAGCCAGCTGCCGCACCGGCTCACTGTGGGCGTCGAAGAAGATGGTCATGGCGACCAGGGCATCGTAGCTGTGAGTCTGGCAGAAAGCGTTGAGGTCTTCGAGGAGGTCCGGCCTCCGCAGGAAGGCCTGGGAGGAAGGAGAAGGGGGAGAGCCATGGCAGACCCGGTCTGTCTCAAACAACAAAGAAGGCTTATTCTCCACCAGAAGGTGTCTAGGGTTCACCACACTGGACCCAGGGCAGGAGGCAATGAGACAGAACATGGAGAGCGCAGGTTTTGAATTAAGACAGAATTGACCGGAAAACCAGCTCTATTAGCCAGATGGTCAATGAGTTACATTCACTTCCTGGACCTACATTTTGACATCTGTAAAGTAAGAAGACCAACAATTACCAAAAGTAATTTTTTGTTGTTGTTTTTTTGGTACTGGGGATTGAACTCGGGACCTTGCGCTTGCGAGGCAGGTACTGGAACCACTGGGCTAAATCCCCAGCCCAGTAATTGTTTTAAGAATGAAAATTTAAAAAACAAAAAAAAAGAATGAAAATATGAGCTGGGGGTGCCGTTTAATGGTAGATGATATGATTAGCATGTTCAATCCCAGCAGCAAAACAAGAACAAACAAAAAAAGAAAACACGATAACGCAACCTGGCATGTCGAAGGCTTTTCTGCTCTTGTGATGGAATAAGCAAGAGGTTTTGCTTTGTGAGAGTTTTTATTATAAAGCTGAACAACAGGGCATACAAGTAAGAGCAAATATGTGCCAACCGTGGTTGTGCATGCCTGTGATCCTAGCACTCTGGAAGCTGAGGCAGGAGGATTCCAAGTTCAAGCACAGCCTGGGAAACCCTATCTCAAAATAAAAAAGTAAAAAGGGCCCTAGACTCAATCCCTAGTACCGTTAAAAAAAAAAAAAAATGCAGACTCGTGATCCTACATCCTTGCCTGGCTCTTCTTTGCCAATCTATACCCTTCTCCCAAATCTCATGCAGTATTTCTTCCAGTGAATAGCACCACCACCTATTTCACATAGAGCTTTTCTCTATCCTTGGCCTTTCTTATGCGTTAATTTGCACTGTAGTTATGGTACTTAGTAAGCCTTTTTTATTCTTACATTTGTTTCCCAAACAACATTATAAGCCACAAGAGAAAAGGCCATGCTATTTTGTTTTAATTACTTAGTATTTTTTACATAGTACAAAGCAGAGAGCAGAATATGAGAGTATGTGTGCACATCAGATTCCTGTGTGGTGGCATGTGCCTGTAATCTGAGTACTTGGAAGGCTGAGGCAGGAGGGATTGCTGTGAGTTCAAGGGCAGCCTGGGTCACACAGTGAGTTCATGGCCAGTGTGGATTATATAGTAAGATCTTGTCTCAAAGAAAAAGAATAGTACAATGGAATTATTGCCAAACACAGTGGCAAATGCCTGTACTTGGGAGGCTGAGACAGGAGGATCACAAGTTTGAGGCCAACCTGGGCAATTTAGCAAGACCCTCTCTCCCAAAATAAAATAAGTTTTTAAAAGGGCTGGGGATGTAGCTCAGTGGTAGAATGCTTGCCTGGTATGTGGGAGGCTCTCCAGGGTCAATCCCCAGTACCAAGGACCAAAAACAAAAACAAAACCTACCATTATTCACCTATCTACTCAACAAACATTACGGAGTATACAACTACGGTGCCAGAGAAAAAGCAGAAAGAAAAGAAAGGACCCTGGTCTTGGCAGACCTGATAAGTTAGCAGAGGAATATAGACAACAAAGAAATATGAAACAAGATCATTTCAGCATGTTAAGTGCTATGAAGAAAACAAGACCAATTAATGGCTAGAGATCTTTGCTATTGTTTTTGAGATGGAGTCTTACTATGCTGTCTCCACTTGACCTCAAACTCTTGGGCTCAAGGGATATTCCTGCTTCAGCCTCCCAAGTAGTTGGGAATACAGGTGACTGTCACCATACCCTGCTAGATTTTTTGAACACAGGAGATATAACTTCAGTTACAGTGGTCAGGAAAAACCTCTCAAAACAGGATATATCTGAGCTGATAGGAAGGAGCAGGCTCCGAAAAGAGAGAAGTTCAAAGCCTGTGAGTGGGGGATGCGCCTGTGTGAGAAGAGAGAACACCGGGGTGGCTGCAGGCCAGGCAGAAAGTCAAGAGTGGGATCAAGCAGGGCCCGGAAACCTCAGGAAGGATTTTAGGTTTTATGAAAAGCACAATGAAAAGGCAGGAAAGGGAGGAGTGATCTGACATGATCTGATTACATCACATCTGCTTGCTGTGGGGTGAACGGCTTGCAGAGACACAGCTCGAGGTGACAGGCTGTGGGGGTCAGGAGGAGAAAGAGACAGGGACCCGGGAACAGCGGTCACTCCCAGGTGAGCCAGAATTGGGGCATCTCAGCCCGCTCTTACCTCCAGATCCATGTACACGGCACTGACGGCCACCCTGGTGCCGGCTCTGCAGGTGACCTTCTGGTCCTTTCGCAGCATCTGCTCGGTGGTCAGTCCTGGCAATCAGACACGAGACCAGGTCACATGGGGATGGGACAAGGCAAGGACAAGGACGAGGACGAGGAGCGGCACAGCCTCTCTGTGGGCGATGATCTGGAGATGACCGAGTATGTAACTGTGTGGTCAATCACCCAGTTGGGTCACAGTACCTTTGGAGAAGAAGAGGCGGGGGGGCTTCTCCTTTCATCCCCCGGCGCCTTTGTGGTGCCAGAAACCGGACCCTTGAGCATGTAGCCAGGCGGTCTACCTTCAGGACTAATTTTTTTCCCTTTCTGTATATTTTCACCTTCTAAAAGTACCTGTGGTACTTTTTTTTTTTGGTACCGGGGATCGAACTCGGGACCTTCCACTTTCAAGGCAGGCGGCAGCACCACTTAGCTAAATCCCCAGCCCCCTTCTTTTCTCTTAACAGGCAGAAGCTGGGTAGATTATGAAAGTTTCTTATTCTCTTCCTTTGCCCTTTGTGTACTCCCTCTAAATTTCTTCTGCCGCTCTAACGAATTATACCGCTCTTGCTCTTATACTTTACTATCCCTCAGCATATTTTATTTAAAATTTATTTTCAGTACTGGGTATTGAATCCAGGGCTTTGTTTATACTAGGGCGAGTGCTCTTGTCACTGGATTACCCCTTTTCTTTTCTCCTTTGGGCAGTGCTGGGGGTTGAACTCATGGTCCTCATACTGAGGTACATCCCTAGCCCTAGTTAAAAATTATTTTACTCACAGTCACTAAGTTGCCCAGGCTGGGCTTGAACTTGTGATCTTCCTCCCTCAGGCTCCTGATGCTAGGACTGCAGGTGAGTGCCATCATGCTTGGCCCTGCAACTGTCATGATGGTATTCCCAAATATAACGGACAAAGCTTGCCCACATACCTTCTCATGTGGGAGGTAGGGAATTCAGCTTGCAAATTCATACCTGATACATCAAACTTTGCCTTTTGTAGCCAATCAAAGATCTCATTTCTTTTGGGCAGATCTGGGAAGAGGGCCTCTAGCTTCTCCACATACTTCCTGTCCTTCGTAGTTGCCTTTCCGATTTTAAGATCCATGTTGACACAGTCCAGGATGATGGTTCCTGTGAAGGGAGATGGCAAGACTCGAATCCAGTGCCTGTCCATTCATGACCCTAGAACATACAGAACCTTTAAATCAAATGAAAATACAGGGGCAACTTACAGGGCAGAACCAATGGAAACAAAATGAGAAATGCACCATGTCCTGAGTAACTAAGACCTCCTAAATCCAAACTAAACATGGACAGGACATGCAGAAAAGGCAGAAAGAGAGCCTGAGCATCTCAATCCCTGGAGATTCTGAAACCGAGCTGCAGAGAAGACATCTCTTCTTTTTTTTTTTTTCCGGTACCGGGGATTGAACTCAGGACCTTGCGCTTGCAAGGCAGGCGCTGGAACCACTGACCTAAATCCCTGGCCCAGAAGACATCTCTTCAATAAGCCAAATTCCAGCAAAGAATCTTGAAGTGAGAAGAGAAAGTTCGGTCCAACTGTCTCTTTTTTTATAAATGGAGAAAATGAAAACAAGGCTAGGAGGTTTGCTCATTTGCTCAAGGACACCGAATTGTTTCTGGGGGGAGCTGGTACCAGAGCACTTTCCTGCCCTTTGGCCAGCACTTCTTCCACTAGACAAGGCTGCCAACAGGAAGCGTCAAGGTCTGCAGCCCCGTGCTTCCTGTCCATTTTCTCCAACATAACATCCCACAGGCCTTTAAACAAGTGCCTAATTGTTCCCCAAAGAATCTCGTCCCCTGGTATGGGTGGTTTTTAAAGTGCATGGGTTAGGCTGGAAGAGTCTGGACTTCTCCACTTTCCCAAGAGGAACAAGTCGGGTCCAACCCCAAGGTTGCCCTCACCATGCAGAAGGGCTGCTGTCTCTCTGTCCAAGATCTCTGGTGCCCCCTGCAGGATTCTCTCAGTCACCAGGGTAGCACAGGACCCCACCAGCTCAACTGACACGTGGCAGGGAGGACAGTGCTTCTGCTCAATGGGTCGGTGGTCCATCACCTCTGCTACTGCCTCCTCCAGAGCTGCGTCACTTCTGCAGAAGGGGAGGTACAAGAAAAGAAATATAGGGGTAGTCTGGCTGCTTCTACCCATCTCCATCTGCCCGCCCTCAATTACGGGAAGTATTGACAGTTTAGGCAAACACAGACTTTTGGTTATTTCTGTCTCTCCTTTAATCCTCTCCAATTCTTTCCTCTGTTGAGTGTGTGTAGGGTTACTGGGGACTGAACCAAGGGAGCACTGAGCTACAGCCCTGACCCTCTTTATTTTTATTATGTCCTTAAAATCCACAGGCTGCCCTCAAACTTGTAATCCTCCTGCCTCAGCCTCCGGAGTAGCTGTGATTAGAAGTGTGTACCCTGATTCTCCATTCCTTTTTTTTTTCTTTCTTTGTTTTTTGGGCAGTGCTGGGGATTGAACCCAGGACCACACCATGCTGGGCAAGTGCTCTGCCACTGAGCTACATCTCCAGTGAGGCCTCAACAATGCTGCATCTGAAGTGCTGTTTAAGTGGAATGTAAGTGGATTCTGAGAAATATCTGCTGCAAATATCCATATATTTACTGTCCTTCAGGATTGCCTTTCTAACTGACATCCCTGATACATTGTAGCCAGGCATGATGGCATCCCCCCTGTAATTCCAGCATCCTGGGAGGCTGAGGCAGGAGGATGACAAGTTCAAATCTAGCCTAGGCAATTCAGTGACTTAGTGAGGCCCTGTCTCCAAATAAAAAAGCAAAAGAGCTTGTTTGGAGGTTCTAGCAGAGCAGCACAGCTACTGGTATATCTTCAATGAACGCAATGCTTCTCATATCTTGGTGGTCATCCTCTTTTACCAAGTGCAGTGCTCATATGGAGCACAGAGAAAGGAAGGGGACACTGTCCAGCCAGCCCTGTCGGCCAAGGCAATTGGTGATCAGTGGGGTGACAGACATCCCAGCCAGATCACCCTCACATCCAAAAGAAAGACAAGAAAAGGCTGGGGATGTCACTTAGTGCAAAGACCCGGGATTCATCTAACCACAAAAACAACAGCCACAAACCTCTCTTGTTCACTCAACCCACCCAATACTCAAATTCCATGCAGCTCACCAGGTCCCAGGGCTTCTACTCTGCATCCTTCTTTTCCAGCCCTGCACGACTGCCTTGTGCTAGGCCCTCTAGACCCCTCAACCACGCTGGACTCTCAACAAACCTCTCCATCCTTCAGCAGCCTCTTAACCAATCACCTCTTCTAACCAGGACCTCCTCAGCCCTTCTTCACAGAGAAAGCAACCTGAGGACCTGGAATAAAATGATGCCAAGTTCCCCTCCACCTCCCCTAAAGTCCAGTCTCTTTAGAAGGCCCACGAGGACTCCACGATCTGGCCCTGCCTATCCCTCTAGTTTTTGTTTTTTTTTTTTTTTTTTGTTTTTTTTTGTAATGGGGATTGAACCCAGGGCCTTTACGCTTGAGCTACATCCCTACCCCTTTAAGAAAAAAAAATTTTTTTAAAGCTAAGTGGGGTAGAACTTGAAATC